TCTGGTGTCAGAGCTTGGCATCGATGACATCCATTTCGATGACTTCTCGCTTGACGTGGATGCCATGATCACTGCAGCCCTCCGGATGTTCATGGAGCTTGGCATGGTGCAGAAATTCAAAATTGACTACGAGGTAACCATCTGCTCCGCAGAGATGTCTGCTGCTGCGTCTTGGCACCGCGCTAGCCGTTTGTGCCCCTCAGTAGCCCTGACACGGTTTGTGCTTTGCATTTCAGACGCTGTGTCGGTGGCTTTTGACAGTTAGGAAGAATTACCGGATGGTTTTGTACCACAACTGGAGGCACGCTTTCAACGTGTGCCAGCTCATGTTCGCAATGCTGACTGTGAGTATCCAGCTACGCACACAGTCCCCTAAGAGCTTTCCTTGTCTCGCTGTCTTACCTGTCCAAGCGTTTTCCCAAACTTTGGTATCTTTTCTGGTTATGGTTGTATTCATTTATTTCAGAAGGAAATCTACACCGCATTATGATATTCAACTTCGGGAGGCACATGTTTGGCAAAACTTTATAATGTTTTAGTGACAGCGATATCACAGGCACATTAAAGTGACTGAAAACAGATGGCAATCTTGGAGAGAGCTTGTTATTATACATCTTGATCTTACAATAATGTTTTTCTTTTGGAAGTCTTTGTTTTGGCATTTATTTCAGTCTCTTATGTTGGAAGCTACAAAACCATGGAGGATTAGAATCACAGTAGTAGTAGTATTTATTAAGTTGATATATTTTATTTTCTAGCATCTAAATAGTTGTAGAAGGTATTGCTTTAAAGCCTTTGAAGATCATCTTCCAATAGAGTAATTTGAAGAATCTTGTGTCCTCATAAGACACTGTAGCACTGCTGGCTCTCACTAACATCTATCTCTGTCAGTAGCTTTATCTCCTCCCAGGAAAGTAACTCCTGTTGACAGGAGCAGCACTTCTGTGCTCGCTCCTTCTCTCTGCTCTCCCCCTCCATGACACCAACCGCACCACATGAAAGAGTCATGTTCAGTAGAGGTTTAGTTAATTCCTGTGAGTGTATCAATAAAAAGACTGGTGGTCTTGTAACATTTAAAGTTCATATGGCTTGGTAGAAGGAACATGGCTTATTTTCCATTTTGGATTTACCCTATCTCCAGTTGAAAACTGAATTCAAATGTTTTCATTTTTCTTCATTTTCAATTTTGGTATCAATTTTGATGCTATTGGCCATGTGACAATTGTGCATGTTTTTAATCTTGTGAAAAGTGGAAAAGTCTTTTGAAGCTTTTTTCCCCTTTTTGATGATTTTCTTTGTTTAAAAATTCCATGAATGTTCATGCTTTAGGGAGTTCAAACCAATACTCTGGAATTTGTGACTAGACACTAAAAAAAAAAAAAAGAACAGTGGGTGACTAATAAGCCTTTTTTTTTTTTCTTTCCCCCACCCCACACACACTCGCGAATTTCTTTGTGAGGAACTAACAAATGGAGGCATGCAGAAATGAAGGCAGCATGTGCAAATACTGGAGTATTTCCTTTCCCAGGGACAGAGAGGAAGCGTGTGACACAGCTAAGGATAAAATCCACATCTTTGGAGCTGTGTAGCATGGTCTCAGTTGGTGCTGAGCTGCTCACGCCTCAGCAAAGGCCTGGAAGGAGAAACAGGTTTTCCTGTAAGTTATTTGCAAGGTAGCAGAAATGCCACTGGGCTGCCCTGTGCTGTGTTTTGAAGACACCTCAGTCTGTGGTAGTTTCCAAGGAAGGGCCTTACTGATGCGAAGGACCCTCTTTTATGGGTCTTTTGATTTAACACCTCAAGTATTTCCCACTTGGGCACGTTCCTAGGGCACACTACGGTGTTCCCGGGCTGGCTGCTCGGTGCTTTTACCAAGATGCCGTAGCTTGTGTCAGTCTTATTTGTGAGGCAAAACATCCCCTAGGTGGAGCTCGGAGGCCAAGTTTTCCGCAGGTCCTGGTTTTGGGTGGGAATCGTTGCTTCCACCTGGCAGCTTGTCCCAAGGTGACAAAATTGGCTGCCAGCAGAGAGAAAAAAGATCCCTCAGCATTAGCTAGGCAGCGGACGCAGCCCCAGGAGGCCTAGGTCTTAACCTGCTCGAAGTGTGGTTTGCAAAGCACGACTGCTGATAGCACAAGGACTGTTCTTACTCTGCTTTTTTCTTGCATGAACCATCTGTGCCTCAGTTTTTTGAAAAAAAACAACAACAACAAAAAAAGAGTAGGTCTTACTGTAACGTAGAGATGTCGAATTTGTGCTGCAGCAACCTCAAGAGGCCCAACGAGCTCCCATTTGAAGCAGTAGCAAAATTCAGCTGGGCTGAACAAGCTAACCAGCAAAAATCCCACAAAACTTAACCCAGACGTTTCACTCCTATATCAGGTGTCTGTGTGTGTAAATGTATATTTGCTCTCTCCAGACAGGCACTGGAGAATCGTTAGCCCAGTGCTGAAGCTCTGCTTCTCTATTTCACACTCACCCAAATATTCCAGGGACGAGCACTGGAGCAAGACTGTTCCTGAGAGTTAATCACATTGGATGCGAATAAACCATGGGATCTAGCCCCAGCTGGCTTGTTCCAAATGCCTTTTTCTGACACACTTCATATAGATTTTTATTTTAAAAAGTAAAAATAAAAATGTAAGTAGTAAGAAATTAAAATCCCATCTGGTGTGCTAACAACATAACACATAAATGTGGGGCAAGATATAATGAATGCAATTCATTTCCTCACATGAAAGAATGACCTCCATAACTCACCGGAGACTCTGCCACTCATGAGTTATGGGTCATTCCTTTTCTCGTGAAAATAAATTCTGCTGCGCCGTTGTCTATCGTTATGTATTTTTGCTCTCTATGTGTAAATTTACAAAATGGGGAAACATAATCTTTTCCTTCCTTGCATCATGTACAAAAAAAGATATCCTCTTACCCCTTAACGCGCGCTGTTTATAAATTATTTTTATTAAATGAAATACGTTAGGTTTCTCTGTGTATACATATATGGAGAGAGATAATGTATATATCTATTCTCCCTGAGAAGATTTTTGATTAAGTAAAATGTTGAACTTATTCTTGAGATAGTTACTATTAGTAAATTCCATAATCTTTTTTTTTGTGTGTGTTTGTAATAGAGGTTGTATCCTTGGGTTTAATCAAAACCCAAGTTCTAGGCTAACCCAAGTGTTAGGTTAGGGACCATTTATTGCAGCAACAATTTTCTATTATAAAGCTTCTAATTGCAGTGGTTTATAGGTCAGCCATGAACATTTCTCTGGAATGAAACTTGACACATGGCTTGTTGTCATGACAAGTATAAGAGAGAAAAAATAAGAGACCTTGATTATTCTTTGTTATATGACAGCAATATTTTAAAAATCAAAACAGAAAACACTGTTTTTCATATACTTCCTTTGTCCGTGTAGCTGTTATTGAAACTAAAATTTTGAACATAACATGGCTAGAAATGAGAAGCTCCTTCAAGGTAGTCAAGCCACTCAGTACGTGTATGTGTCCTGTATGAGTGAAACCTTTTTCCCTCAGTTTTGATTGCCTTTTTTTGATATGTGCACTTCGAGCCCTGTTAGAAAGCTTTCCTAGCAAGTCTTGCTCTTCCTTAATTTTCACTGAAATGTCTTCCTGGGCACGTGGGGGGTCTTGGCCCCCTCTACTGCCTAAATATTAACAGCCACACAGCAGATTAGAGAAGTAGGAGTTTGAATTTGAATATGAATTTACTGAAGTGGAATTTACGGTCTTCCAGGTTGCTATCAGAGTTTTCATGTGGTGTTGCAGGACTTGACTTGCATCCCTGAGAGGGCTGCAGATCTCACCAATACTCTCTTTGTACCTCACAGCCCTCTTTTTGCCAGTGGGTAAAATTTAGCTGCACTGAAAACTAGTGGAATTCAGGATTTCTTTCAATTTAATGCTCAGTCTAGGTTTGGTCTTCCTATCAATGTATATTTGTTTTATGTGTTTTTTTCATAGTAACTAGGTCTTGGTGCTAACTAGAGTTGGTTGGAGACTGACACTGTGAAAGACGAATGGCGACTTTTTCAGGCAGTGATTTTTTGCAGGCAGTTCTACCTTACACGTATCCGAAGCTGAAGAACCAGATTGTTTCTGTCCTGGGTAAGAGGCCCAGCCCAGCGAGGTGGTACCTCACACCGGCTGCACCCTCACACGTCCTCCGCGCAGGGTGCTTGGGGGATCAGGAGCAGTGGGGTCTCTTCTGTGGCCTGAGGCGGTTCTGGCAGAAAAACTGCTGTGGCAGCTATCCGTGAGGAGAAATAGAGCGAGAAAAAAGTGTTTCTAGGCTCAGTTCCCCCCATGCCAGGCATATCTGTTCAGAGCTGGTTGGGGGGAATTTCAGCACATTAAATTTTAAAATGTTCCCTCAAACTCAAGCAGATATCTGCAGCAGAATGATCCCTTTTGAAACAAAATCTCCTCAAATCACGTCACATTGTATCACGGAGAGTCAATCACTTAATAGATTGTAATGCTTAGATAGAATATATTTTGGCTGGTGTATTTT